GATCATCAACCCAAAGCCTTTTTCCCCCTATTTCCCCCCTTGTTTTTCCATCAGGCCTCTAATGTCAATGTTTGCTGGCACCTCTCCCACTCTGCTGGTGGTGCAGCTCTGTGCAGCCTGCGCTCTCAGAGAAGTTCTTTAAAAGTCTCCTTGATGTATTCAAATCGTCTCCCATGTATTCATTGGATTTGCTGGGTTTTGCAGGAGTGAAACTCCTGCCCATATGGCTCTGCTGATGCAACCAGTTGATTAGATTTTACATTTCCATGTGTGATTTATGGTAAATTGCCCACGGACTCATTAAAACTCCGCATCTTTAAAAATGCCCCCAATACTCCTCCATGCATTTTATACAGGACAAAAACAGGGCGGTTCTGTATTCCAGAGGGAGTCCTGCTGATAAGAACACACTGCAGTTACAGCAGTTTCGATGTGAGATACAGAAAACATTTCCCTCACCATGACTTTAAAATCCCCCTAAAATGCATTGCAAGGAATCCACCAGCGCCAGCTCAACGCACGAGAACTGCTTTAATAAATCTGAATAGATGTGTCAGGCCCTAAATGAACTGCACAGCAAATAAAACCCAATTCTCCACTGGATGCATTGATTGTTATCAGGAAGGTGTACCTGTTGCTGTTTCAGAGCAGGGACCGATCAGCCCAGCATGCTCAGCACTGCCCCTCACCCACCTCATGTTTTCTTTAGCCCCACTAAGCAGCTTGAGACAGATATCCCATAAGTATATCTTCTGTATCTTCTCCCCAAAAGCTGTTTTCTAAGCACGGGTTTGATGTGCAATGAGCTGTTCAGATATCTGATTTATAGGGCATATGAAGTGTCTGACCGAAAGAAATATGATGGATCTCTCAGGTGTCTCTCTGATTTATTGGCCGTAGGGCAATTTATAAGTCATGTCAGTAACTTCATCAGTAACACAATTAATTCTGAAGTTACCCCTGAGTTATCCCAGCTCGGTGTCACTGACGAAGACATGATGTGCTGAGTTATGGGTTGGCTCTGAACTATGACTGACTTTGGAATAAGTCACAGAGCTGAGCCATCAGTCAGGTGATGGATGGATGTGGGCGCACAGCGGCACGTTGCCACATCAGATGCCCCGTGCTGTGCTCTGACTGCTGGGATGTCCACCTGGTGTGCTCTTTTGGGAGAGCAGGCACTGATTCACCCAGCTGGACACACAGATCACAGCCTCAGTGCTGATTTAAGGCTGCACTGGGGAGCAGCGTGCAGCCGGCAGCTCTGCGGGGCTGCTGGGCGCTGGCATGTATCAGGGCCATTAATTAAGATGTCATTTACAGCCCCGCTGAGTGACCCTGATTAAACTGTGTGATGGCAAACACTAATAAGAGAGATGATATCCCTGCAGGTGGGGAGTGCAGTGCATTGAGCTCCTGGTGAGGAGCTTCCCTGGGTCACAGGGGCAGCAGCATCCCTACCTGCTGCCTGCAGCCCTGCTGTCGCTGCTGCTGTCACTGCCATTACAGAGGGGCATGGAGCAGTGCTGTGTGTTTTCTCACTGTGCACAACTCACAGCTCTTGCTGTGTATTCCTGGGAGGTGAGGAAGACGTCATGGGAGATGCATTTACATCTGTAAACTGCAATCCGAACTCTCCAAATACAAATACAGATGAACAGAGGAGGAAAGCTGACTCCAAGTCCCACGGCTCCTCCCCACATCACAGCAGGAAGGTTTCTGTTCCCCTTTCTCTCCTGCACTCCTGCTGCTGCCAGGACACGGTAGGGATGGGTGAGCTCCAGAGAATCCTGCTCTGGAATCGACCACTGCTTTCAGTTTGTTTCCTTACTGTGAATCCATTACCAGCCTCACCAAAGCTCTCCTTACCTGCACACAGCCAACAGCTGCGTGCTGCAGACAGGGGCTCCAGTCTGGGGCTCAACCCAGAGCTCTTTTGAAGAAAATGTAGAACTACTGAACGAATCCCAGGCCAATCCCAAGCAAATGCCATCAGTTCCTACTCAGCACCACTGCTGCTCACAGCTCAGCACCTCGCAGCCCCTCCTGACAGCAGCCTCGGGGCACTGCTCCAACTGCACATCCGTCACAGAAATTGAGCAGCGATTCATCAAAGCCAGGGCTGTGCTCAATAACCACCAGGAGATGAGTAAGTAATTACTCCATAATGCATCCCCGCCTTCCCACTTCTCAGGCTGCCTGACCTCGGCTGCACAGCCCCAATGCTGTGGGTCACTGTGGGGCACAGTGTGAGCTCAGCCTCCCCCTGGGTCAGAACTGTGCTGCGATGTCAGCACTCACAGGATGGCCCTGGTTGGAAGAGACCTGAAGGATCATGAATCTCCAACCCCCTGCCACAGGCAGGGCCACCAACCTCCACGTTTCATAGCAGCCCAGGCTGCCCAGGCTGCACACCCCGTCCCCTCAGAACTCATCACTCACACTGCCAATGTGCTCCAACTTCTCCCTTCATGTTCTTGACACAATGCTCCCTCCTGCAATCTGACAATAACCATCCGTGCAAGGAAAAAAGTCCCCCTGCAAGACTGCGCTGCTACTCCTCGAAAGGCCTGAAAGTGATAATTGGATTAATTAAATGGTCGGATCTACAGCCCCAAGGGGCCTTTCAACTCAGAATCAATCACTTTACATCTATTACTCAACGCCGAATTCACTGAACTGTTGAAGTCACTGCAAACTGCGTTAGCGATATTAAATAATTAGTAAGATTAATGCTATATAGCCTGGGCAGAATCCAGATTGATTAGTGCTAATTATCTTCTGCCCATTTAAATAATTTATTCTTGTTTTCCCATTTTGGAAGAGCGGGCAGCACCCCATCCCTGCGCTCAGAGCTGGAAGGGACAGTGCCCATTTGACCCATTAACTAAGTACAGAATTTCTCAGTAATCCCCAACAGATGAGCATCAAAGAGGAGACCTATGGTCCAGGATAATCCCTTTATCATGAAGTAATGCTACAGAAATCAAATACCGGCAGTAAGTCGGGAGATTAACGACAAGCTGGGAAAGGCACAAATTAAATTGCAATCTCCCTCATTGCTTTGCACAATGCCAACAGTGCCAGCAGGAAAACAAGGTTAGAAATCACTTTATAAAAATGAAAATCTCTTTTAATCCCTGATTTGGTCGGTAAATAGCGCGTGCAGAGCGGGCTGTGCCCCATCCCCACCGCCTTCAACTGCGAGATGGCCAGAGAGGAAAGCAAAGGAAAGGGTCGGCAGGGCTGGAGCAGTGGGTGGCACCCCGCTTCTGCTTTTATAGCTCAGAAACACCCAAGTGAATAATTGATTCCCTTCCTTAGAACATCCCTACAAATGCATGCTTCATAAAACACCAGGCTGCTTGATCCTGCAGCGCTGCTTTGCTGCCTGGAGCAAACATGGGGCAGCAGCTTTGGGCACGACCCCCAGCTCAGCTCCTCATGCACGGCCCAGCCGTCCCGCTGCTCCTGCCCCAGTGATGCTCCGTGTTCCTAAATGGGGCACTGCAGCTGCACGGTGCACCTTCCCCTTGTGGCTTCTGGAAGAGACAAACCTTTTCCTTGCTCATCGTCAAAGCAGCACTAAACCAAACAGGCTGACAGGAGCAAACCGAGTGACAGCAGCAGGGCGAAGGTGGCAGGGGTTACTTCTCTTATCCTTCTACAGGGGAAAGAAATCCAATTAAGCCTGAAAGGCAGAAATTTAAAGCCACTAAACCAAAAATGTCCCTCCTGCTCTAACCCGGGCTGCGGCACTCATCACCGTGAGGGATCACAGCAGGAGGGCATGCAGCAGTGGGAGGAGCAAAACTCAGGGATCAGAGCCAGGCTGGGGCAGAGCAGCGCCCACCGGGATGGGTTTCCCCCATCCGAGCTGCAGGCGATGCCCGGTAGGGGCAGCCCACCCTGCAGTGCCACCCGGCTGCGCTCTGCGCCGGCAGCATCGCCCCGAGCAGCTCAGCCCTGCTGACAGGTAATGCTGATTTATACCACGGAAATAAATGAGTCTGCTCTGCAATTTCACCTAATTTTGTCTCCCATTTCAATTTTCCATCTCTCAGCGTAACGCCGGATGGTTAATTATGTTTCCATCTTACTTCTCAGATAATACACCCCCTCGTACCGCACGTCGTCGCTTCTCAAAGGGTCTCATTTTACCTTTCATTTCACCACCTAGCACAGCTCTAAATTTAATCAGCTCGTAATTTTTGGATATTTTATCCATTAGGCCTTTGTTATTGTGAAGTAAAATGGAATCCTTGTCTTTTAATTCGCTCTCTAATAATTCTCCACCAAACCTTAATACAAAGGGGTTTTTTTTTTCCTCTCTTCCCTCCTCCCTCAAAGACTAATTGAACGAGGTGTAATTACAATACCCAGGAGATGATATGGAAGCATCTGAACTGTGACAGCCCCCAGGGGCTGAGCCTTTTGAAGGGACCATGCCCAGTGGGGATGGGGCCACACTGCAGCTCCTGGACCCCCCCTGAGAGCAGGAGGTGCAGCATCACTGCCAGGAGGAGCCAATGGCCCCCCTGTGGATCCTCCCATGGAGGAGGCAAGCAATGCAGGGAAATCAGTGCTCAGCACACAGGCACACAGAGGGGATATTTGCTCCCCCAAACCATGGTGTGTCCTGTATGCAAACCTCTGCTGGACAACGGGATGCAGACCACAACCTGAGGGATCCTCCACTCACCCTTGAAGTGTAAATCAGCCTTCCCTGAATTAAAACCCCCGCTCTCCTTCAGAACGCCTCCCATTAAAGGAACTGATGGAAAGCCCAAATCCTGCATGCTTCAAACCACAAAGGACTCAACAAATCAGCAAAGCAATTTCATGTGTAGGGGAACCGATGCAGAAATGTCTCTCTCTGCGGTCCGATGGCACTAAAAATCAGTTGTGAGCATCGGAGCCTGTGAGGGTCCCTCAGCCCCATCACCAGCACTGCCCCTCAGCTTCGCAATGAAGAGATCTTCAGCAGAGATTAAATTGGATTTAATATTTCACAGTCTGCTATGTACATCAGTCTGCAGCAGCATTGCATACCCCAGAACGGGAGCACCTCCACGCCGGGTCCGTGGGCCCCCACCTCCCCTCCAGCTGCAGAGAGGGGACAGAGCACATTCGGGGGCACGGTGCCTGCTTCCTTAATGCCACATTCAGCCCAGGGCTGCAGAGCCTGCACGTGTCCAGCACTGGAATCCTCCTCTTTATTCTGAAATTCGATGCAAACACGAGCTGCAGTGTGGTGCCTGGGACTGGCTCTGTAGGAACAGGCATTAAACTCGCCGCCTCGTTAATGCAATTACACAGGAAGGAAGAACCAACAGTGTGCTCTGTGGAAATGTTTTGCCATCTCCGGAGCCCGAGGAGGTGTTGGACCGCCCCGGTACCGCCACTGTGGGCAGTGCTGAGCAGGGTCTGCTTCCAGGTCAGGGAGAGAGAGGCAGCAAGGCTATCTGTGCAACTCCCACAGCACTGACCTTCGCTGTTTTAGCTGGGAATAAAGCTCTGCTGTCTGTCTGTCTCCATAACTTTCAACAATCGGAGCATTTTATTTCAGAGGATGGGAAAACGAGCCCGTTTCTTGGCTGCAGGGTGCATCACGGGGCTGTGGAGCTGTGAGGCATTGCAGCAGTGCTGGCACCATCCCATCCCATCCAGCACTGCGATGTCATCAGGGCTGACTCCAGGCTGCAGGAGCTACCGGGTGACCTGCAGGAGAGGAGATGATGAGCACCCAGCAGATGCAGACATAACCTGCTCCTTGCATCCCACAGGGCGGTTGTTCCAGGGTTATTTGTGACCTCCCTCTGGGGTCTGTCTGCACTGGGAGGCTGAGGGCTCAGTTGGGGGTAGGGAACCAAGTAATGCACACCAAGAGCCAAAGGCAGGGATGGGTGCCCAGAGCAAAGAGACCTTCTCAGACATCCACACACACACTTGAGCAGGAAAGTCCTTTTGGTGATCCAAAATAATGGCAATAATGAAAAAAAATAAATCCCCCCCCAGCATTTTTTTAATGTGATAATTTTACGGCAGGGGATGCGGGGTGAGAAGAGCTCCAGCACAAGGAATAATTACCCTCGACTGCATGAACAATGATTACAAAATTATGCAACGGATTAACCGTGACATATATGTAATTACTAATGTGTTTGATAAAATTTTAATTACACCTTGTTCTTCGGGGCGTTCAGCAAGCCATGAAAATAACAATCATGCGGTGCTCTGCCACTGGTGGCCCTGGGTGGGGGGTGGAGGGGGTTCGGGGCTGACGTACCTTGGTGGTCTTCACTTTGTTGCCACTGCTGCAACTCCAGCCTGAGAGGTCGGGCAGCACCTTGCACTCCTCCCCAGCGAGGCAGGGCTCCATCTGGCACCACCACTTCTGCAGCACGATGGAGGCTGGGGGAGAGCAGCCGTTCAGTGAGAGGAAGGGACCCGCTGCTCCCAGTGCCCCCAAAGCATCCCATCGCCTATCATTGCCCCCATCATCAGCCCCATCCCTGTAGGGCAGGGGAGGCATCTCTGCTCTGGGCCCCATTGCTGACGGAGAGCAACTGTTCTGTGCTGCCCAGCTTTGTGAGTAACCAACGCCAACGGTGTGGATAATTAGAGGGGGCTTGGGAAGGACGGCACAAAAGCTGTGTGGGACAGCTTGAGAATTAACCTGGGTATTTCCTGGCACTGTGCACAAATGCACTGCAGGATGAGAATCAATAATGCACTGGCAGAGGCTCCCAGCTGATCCTGGTGGCCCTATGGTAATGGCATGTGACGTCAATCGATGAAATATATATAGGCTGAGCTGTGCTTTGTGCTCCTAAGTGCACCGGTGATGGCACTGCGTGGCCGGAGTCACGTCCCTGCCCCGGCTGCAGGCACACAGGGACCAATGCTGGGAAGCTCTGGGGTGGGGGCAGTGACCACAGGGCGTCCCCAGCACAGCTCCCCTGCCCCGCAGATACTCACCATCCACACAGGAGGGGGCTGCCCGTGTGGTGCCTGCCACCTGCCCTGGGAAGCAGGAGCACTTCACGGTCTGGGAGCGCTCCTCTATCTTGTTCTTATTGCAGCACCTGTGTGCTGCGATGACCTCGCAGGTGCCGGGCTCCACGTGTGCTGCAGGAGAGAAGGAGCTGTGTGATGTGGGGACAGAAGGAAGCTCAGCACGGGCCCCATCCAACCTGGCTTTGAACACCTCCAGGGATGGACAGGGCATCACAGCCTCTCTGGGCAGCTGTTCCAGCACCTCACCGCTCTCATAGGAAAGAATTTCCCCCTGACATCCAACCTCAACCTTCCCTCCCTCAATGTCAAACCACTTCCCCTTGTCCTGCTGTCATCTCCCCTTTCCAAGAGTTGATTCCCCTCCTGTTTGTAGGCTCCCTTTAGGTACTGCAGGCTGCAATGAGGTCACCCCGCAGCCTTCTTTTCTCCAGGCTGAACAAGCCCAGCTCCCTCAGCCTGTCTTTTTGGGGAGGTGCTGCAGCCCCCTGATCATCTTTGTGGCTCCTCTGGACCCTCTCCAACAGCTCTCTGTCTTTCTTGTACTGGGGGCTCCAGACCTGGACACAGCACTGCAGATGGGGCCTCACAAGAGCAGAGCAGAGGGGGACGATCACCTCCCTGTCCCTGCTGGCCACCCCTCTGCTGATGGGAAGCACTGGTCCTGCTCCAGACCCCCCGGCGTCCAGCCCTGAAAGCTCTCACATCCATCACTGAGCACAATGAACAGCTTTTGCCACAGCAAAGCCAAGAGCCTTGCAGAAACAAATGAGCACAATGGCTAACCAGAGCTGATAATGAGAGGTGTGCTTTGCTGCAGGAGGGCATGTTGCATCGTTCTGCCTTCAGCTCCCAGCACAGCAGCACCATCCCGGCCCCCAGCCCTGCAGTGCAATACAGTGCTCCCACTGCACCGTCCTCGGGATGGAGGAGGGAGAGCCAGGAGAGTGCTCCCAGCCTGCAGAAACATCACAGTGAGCAGCAAGAACCCCGGCTGCTCTGCTGCTCCCTCTCCCAGTGCCATTAAAATATTAAGGCAGAAAGAAAACTGATGTGCTGGCTTATCACCTCTGGGATCTGGGTTCAGAAGCTGGTTAGCATCGCAAATCAATGCATTTCGCTGGGTAACGGCCCACGCAGGCACAATACAAATTAGCCAAACATGGCTGGATAGACTTGATTCCCACGACCTGAGCACCACTGATCCCTGCAGGTCCCGTTTAATGAGCACCAGAGGAGCGGGCACAGAGCTGTGTGTTGGCATCACTGCCTCGCTGGGTATGGGCTGCAGTCATGCAGCTGCTGGGCAGAGAGGGGAGAGGGGAAGAAAGGAGCCGCGTTCCTGCGACGTGCACACAGATCCGTGCATGGGAAAGGCAGCTTGTGCCATTACTTGCTGTTATTTATTGTTATTTCACGGTCATTTTCTTTTAATGAACCATCGCTTTCATTTCTGCCCATAATAATTACACAATTACCTATCCTGGAAGTATTTTGTAATAGCATCTCTGGCCATAAATTTAATCCTTCCTTTTAAACGCCATCATAATTCAGTGTTAATGACAGCCTCCACTGTTTCTGTATGCAGAAATTAAACACTTTGGTGAAAGGGAAAAGGAAAGCATCATTACAGGACAAACGTGACCACGACTCGCTTTGCTTTTATGGGATTTTCACAGGACAAGCAAGGATCCCTGGGTTTGGTTGGCTGTAAGAGGGCACCTGGGGGGCACACACAGCCCCAGGGTAGCTGCAGCAAGCTGGAGGAGAGCAGGGAGTGAGCACAGCAAACCCTGCAAGCCTGGGATAGGTGCAGCACTGCTGGCACACAGCTGCCTCCAGCAGAGCCCTTTTAAGAAACTCTTATCTGACGGAACCATAAAGGCGCCATGAAAGCACGAGGCTTTTGAATCCCGTGGGTAAAAAAATAAAGCAAAAATACCATCCTACTCTGGCTGACCTTTAAGCGAGTGGCACAACGGGGCCGCTGATGGCACAACCTGAAACGACAGCTTTGTCCTGAGGAGGAGCAGGCAATGCCCTGTGTGCTTAGCCTAAGATCTCCGTGCACTGAAGTGCAGTGTAACCACAGGCAATGCCAACACCTCAGCACCGAGCGGGGCAGGAGGGCAGGGGGGACCATGCTGCCCACCCAGCAACAGCCCCACTGCTACCACAGCTTGAATAATTCACGCCTTAAAATCACTACTGCCTCGGGTGCATGCATAATTTAAAAGGGGTTTGGAGAGAAGTGCTTCTGTTTTTATTGCTCGTTATCACTGCGCGCCGGCTGGAGCTTTTTAGTAGCTTGTCATATCAGAACTCAGCTCATCCCGTCCCCCTCTGCAGCACAGAGGGAAGCACGTCTGTACGAGTGCACGCACACAACTGCTCACCCAGCTCCCAGCACCTGATGCTCACGAGCAAGAAAAACAAATCCAGGGATTGCGTTGAGAAGTGCTGATAATGTGCCACTGTGGAAACCCCCACTGCTGGCAGTGTGTCCTGCTCAGCTGGCCAGGTCTCCCTCCTGCGCCCACACAGCTGAGTGATGGCTGTGGGTGATGGCAGAGATGGCACTGTGGCTCTCACGTTTATCAGAAGGTGCTGGGGCTCCATCCAGAGCTGCTCTCATAGCAAGGTGCACGTGGGTCATTCTGCTCTGAGGAGTCTCTTTCTCCATCCCCAGATGACTCCATCCCTGCACAGGGTCCATGTGGCTGCTTAAATCCAATTGCACACACCAGGATGCACTGCTCTGCTTTGACATCAGCGTTCTCCAAGTGAACACAAGCAATTGGACTGTACTCCAAAGCCAGATGTTAAAATGCATTGTGTTCCTGGAAGGCCAACAGAGGATCTGCATGTTCCTTCCTTTCATGAAATTCCCGAGTTCACAGGTCATGAAATCCTGTGCTGTGTTGTCACAATTGCACCCTTCCTCCTGCAGTTTTTCATTGGTAGGTGACTGAAAGCAGTGCACAGGCAAAAGCACTGCTTGTGTCTGTCCCTCTGTGTGTGCCATCTGTCAGCAGCAGAGGTGCAGCAATCCCAGCCCACACCTCCCTCTCATTTCGGTGTGCAGCAGCATAACTGCAGGCTTTCCAGGGGAAAATGTCATCGCCACTGAGAACACAACCTTATAAAAGGGCATTCCCAGCATAACCTTTACTAAAAGATGCCCTCAATGAAGCAAAAGCACGGGGCAGACAAGTGGAAAATGAATGCTACGAACCGCCACAAAACAGGGAAAGCAAGAAACAGTGCAAGCAGCAAAACTCCTACAGCAACCACAAAGGATGTGCTGCAAGAAACCTCGACAACACAGAGACACAGAGCAGGGTTGGACTTCTCAACATGTGCTCCCATTATGCCCTCTTTGCTGTGGATCAGCATTTGCCTGAATAAGAAGCACAGCTCTGGTCCTCTATGGGTAAATCTTTGCAAGTGAGAACCTCCAGCTCTGCCTGTGAGCATAGGAACGTATCAGTGCTTCTTGCATACAGAGTCAGAGTTGTGCATGTAACTCCCAACCCCACACACATGCGTGGGGCACCTTCCACAACTCACTGAGTCACAGCTGTGTCACCTCAGGGTCTGGCCATGCCTCGGGGCAGTGGTTTTGGCTTTGCTTGGAGCCAGAGCAGATCCCAGCAGCCAGGGCCATCCTTGAAGTGGTAGAAGATGAGTTCCTTCCCCTGCACCCTCCAGGTTGGAAGGGGAAGCAGGTAGCCCTGAGTAGCTGGCTGATAGAGCCCCTCGGGAAGATACGCTTCAGTTTTAAGCAATGAGGATTGGGATTACAGGATTAGAGGTGCTTTAACTGCCAGGGAAAAACAGAAATAGGACGGGGTTAGGTGTGGGGTCAGGCTGTCGCACGGTATTTTCAGATTAACCCTTGGCTGCCTGCTGTCCTAGAGAGCCCTGAGGCACTGAGTGCATCCAGGTCACACCGTGCCATGAGCCCCTGGTGGCGTAGGGACATGAAGCATCACTTCCCTACCTGAATGGCTTCTGTGGTGGGTGGAGGCCAGCGTCAGTCTTCCCCATAGTGTGGTAAGGCAGAGAGTGAGCACTAAAACCCATCTGCTCAAGCTTTGTACGTCCCTTTCACTCATTCTGCCAAGAACAAGAAGAGAGAAGCACAGATGGAGAGGGGCTGAGGGCGTCCCAAGCACACAGCCATGGGGTCAAGCCTTCCCCCAGGGCAGTGGGGGCACGGTGGGGATGCACCCGCCTCCCCTGGGCTTCATCTGCAGCAGGACAGCAAGAAATCACAGCAGCAAAGAGGAGCACAGTTTACCTCTTACCGGGGCTTCCCGCTAACAGCCGTGCATCCGCCAAGCACAGGTGTTGGGAGCTTCACACACAGCAGACATCAGAGCATCTGAAAGGGGAGACACAGACAGCCCTGTGGGCACGCTGCTGGCAGAGCAAACCACGAGAAATCCATTGCCAGGTGTTTCCAAGTGCAGTTATGTGCTCTCCCATCACCTCCTCGGGGGTGAGGCCAGCCCCGTGCCCACTGGGGTCTGGTGAGCAAATCCACACAGCGCTTCAGTACCAGCCTGTAAGTTACTGATGGAGGTCAGGGATGAGCAGGAACGACACCAGGGCTCTCACCTGCACCCCACAGTGCTGCCCAGCACAGTGCTGGGAGGAGAGAGCTCCAATGTCCAACAGTCCTCTAAATGAGGATCCTGCTCTGGGCCAGGCTGGGGCAGCGAAAGGCGCTCATCTCACGGTGTGCCAGCACAGAAAACACTGACATTTTTAACAAAAAACAAGGTGATGTGAGGAGGTAAAGGGCACTACTTGCTCTGAAACATTCCAAAATGAATCGGGCTGCTTCAAACTGACATTTCAGAACAGAAAGCGTTGCGTTCCAAAATGTTGATGTAAAGCGATGCTTTCCGTTCTGATTTTCTGAGCTGGGGGAAAAAAAACCAACAGAAAATGTCACCAAAAATGTTGATATTCTCCCAGAGGAAAACGATCTCAACACGAACGTGTTTTATGCTAGAAAACAACTCAGAGGCACAAAGATATTCCCTATGGGTACGGCAGGACAGCAATGCATGCAGTGGGACTGCGTGGATGTGCAGGTGATGCAGCCCCATTGCTGGATCTGTCCCTGCAGATCCTGTGCCCTGGAACTGCTCTGCAAGGGGACTGCACAGGCTGGCAGACGTGCATGATGCTCACACACAAAGTCCCCCTAGGATAGAAAAACACAGCTTTGCAGAAATTGCTATTTTGACAGTTGCCAGCCTCCAACACCGTGAGGCACCAACTGCAGATGTTCAGTCTGACAAAGTTTCTCATCCTGGGATGTCACTGTGAAATGAAGAGTGAGTGATGTGGCGGCACATCAAAGCACTTCATTTTGATGGAAAATATCGGTGTTTTCTGTTCTGTTCTGTTTGGGATTTGGTTATATTTTCTGTTAAAGTTCTGTTAGCTGCTTTCTGCCCACCCAGGACCTGCAGGGCTCGACCTTCTCTGCAGGCAGCTCTCAGCACAGACACGGTGCCAGAAGTGAGCGTGGCTCTCCTGCACACCACGTTGCTGCTCTCCCAGCCCTTTGCACAACAGTTTTAATTCTTTAGCACATTTGTTAACCCCAGCATGGAGCTGTGCAGGACAAAGCATGGGTGGACTTAGCAGCAGTCCCTCACATGCAGCCTCGGGGACCTCAACGCTGAAGGTAAGAAGTCCCAGATGTGAACCTGGAGGTTCCTCCTGCACTTGCAGAGGTGGTCCTGCAGCCAGGGATGCTGGAGCACAGCCCGCTGCTCACAGTGCTAATGAGGAGTTCTGTTGTGCCAAATGATGCGCCGAGCTCTGGAAGTCGGGAGTGCTCCTTGCAAAGGTCCTCATGAGCTGAATAATTACAGCCAGCAAAATTCTACCCAAAAAAAGAAACAAAGAGACAGGGGAGGCTGGATGTGAACTGGCTGTCTGTGCTAATGAACGCTCCAATGCAGCTCCAGCATCGCCAACCTTTGTGCACACCTGGCCCAAGAGATGTGCCATTTGTTTGAAAGCTATTTTAGCACTCCTGCTATTTTAGCACAGCCTGGAACTGCGCCGTTTTTGCTAAACATAAGAAGAGAGTGTCCTGGTTCCCCAGGGCTCTGCAGTGGTGGGCAGCCCCATGCCCAGCCCCAGAGTGGGGAGGAGACCCCAGGAGAGCCCAGCAAGCACAGAAACCTCTCTGCGATCACTGCAGATGTTACACTGCCTATTGGAGGGGCAATTTGATTTCAAAGCTTCCCTGAAGCACCAAGTCAGGCATCTCAGCACGGAGCACAACAGCAGCACTCTTTGTACGCACAATTTTGGGTTCATGCTGGCCAGCAGCTGGCTACACCCCAGCTCCCTGAGCAGCACTGATGATGCTTAATTAAAGGCAAGGCTGGGGAGTCATAGCTATGAGGCTGCAGCTGCAGAGCTAGGGATGCACACAGGGAGTTGCTGTGCACACCTGGATGGACACCATCAGGAGCTCTGTGCAGCAACTCCCACCCTGCATGTCCTGAGCTGCACCACTGCTCTCCAGAGCCAAACTGCAGAGCTCTGGGCTGAGCTGAGCCCTCTCATACCCTTCAGTTTAGCTCCAGCTCTGAGTGCACTTGCAGCACTGCAGCTCATTACGTCCCACAGCCCCAGCACGGAGGGCAGCACAAGGCATGAGCTTGGCAACCTGGCAAGGGGCACAGGAACACAGAGTGCTGCTTCCCATAGAAGTGCTCTCTCCTGTGTGCTGGTTGGTTTTCAGCTTCTTCCTCACTCTTTCTGTGTCTGCAGCTTTCTTTTCCCAGCTCAATTGAGCAGGAGAGTTTTTAACTTAAATTCAGCCCAAGCACGGCCCTGACTGCTGCCCCCTCATCCCGGTGAATCCCACCTTCCTGCTGCTGCTGGCATGCTGAAGGTCAGCATCGACCTCACCCTCCCCATGTGCCAGGAAAACAGTCACATACCAGGGGTGTGAGACCCAACCACGCTCAGCAGAAGCCAAGGGAGCCTCGGCATCACCGTGGAAGCAGCTCGAGGTCTCCAGGAGATGCCACATTCCCCCGCGTGGGCTCTTCCCCTAGTGCAGAGAGCATCTCGCAGAGCACGGGCACCCTGCGTGCCCATGGTCTCCCCCAGCCCCGGCGGCCCCAAGCCCCGCACCGCACGGACGGGAAGGGACTAACAGCAGCAGGGCACTGCCGCTGCCTTCGGGGCCGCTTGGCTCGAGCGGATGGCAGCGCATCACCCTGCACGCTGCGCACCGGGCCCCGTGCGGGTCACCGGCACCGACCCGGGACACCGCGCACCGAGACCCGCTGCCCGCAAAGGAAGCGCTTCTCGCGCCCCGCCGGAATTCCCCGGTTCCCCCGCAGCGCTCCCCGCACGGACAAGCCGGGCACAGCGGCTCCGCCACCGGCCCCCGCGACGGCCCCGACCCCGACGGCACCGCAACTCCGCCGCGCTCGGCTTCGTCCCGAGGTCCGCTCCCGTCCCGCCCCAACTTCGCAGCCGGCCGGGCCGGACCGCAGGTACCTGCCGGTGCCGTCCGTGCGGGCCGGGGCCGCCGCTGCCCATGGCCGCCGTC